GGGTCTCTGGAAATATCAAACATTTAATTAAAGTTTTAAAAACAGTGACAGGTTAAAATCAGAGGTGGAAGAAGTATTCTGATTATTTACCTAGGTAAAAATATGTGTTAGAAGTAAATGTCCTGCATTCAAAATGGTCAATTGCCCAAGTGAAAAGTATTATCATCTGAAAGTTAAATGAATCATTATGTTATTAGTATTAAATACATTTAAGTATTTGTACAACTTATATTTAGAAATACTCCGTTGTAATTATTGATGCATAAATGTGTTCATCCATTCAATGTGGCATCTGCTATAATGGGGTTAATGTATGATATTACTTAATAATACATTACTGTATAATACATGATAATGTATGAGTTGATTTACTTCAATCTACTGTACTGTGTACACCACAACAATATTACAAAAAAAGATACTGCATATTCAAGCAAACTATTGTAAAGGTAAAAGTATGAGCATAAAAAATAAAGAAGTGTAAGCATTTACATTATTATATTATTTAATATATAAAGACTATATATTATTGAATTACAATTAAGATCATAAGATTAGATATACTTTATTTGATCTAAAATATTGATGTTTTTTCGTTATAGTAGCCTGTGAAAACCATAACAAATAAGGTGATTAAATGCTACAGTCTTCAGCAAACACAACTGCAGAGCTGCAACATTGCAAACAAACTAAGGTCTACAACACCCATTGTCTTTGTGTATTTGTGAACGAAGAGCCATCTCATGGTTAAATCCTGAAATTGAACAAATGGGGAAATTTGGCAACGCCCTCTTAGGAAATAGTGGGAGGGCTTTAGACCCCATTACACGGGAGCGCAAACGGACCGAATTCGTTATCAAAAAGTATTCCGTTCACACGCATTCGGCTCATTTAACGTGTCCGTTCACACGAGACCACTGGAAATGCTGTAATACATATGCCGGGCCTGTAAGTGGCTCTGTACTTCCGCACGACACCGCTCGTAAGCGCTGGAGACGCTGTAGTACAATATGCCGGGCCTGTAAGTGGTGCTGTACTTCTGCCACAAATACACCAAAAGCAGTGAAGAAGACCCCCGAGCATGTTTGTCATGGTCGCCCTTCTGTTTATGCCCCGCGGTGGATTTAGGCCACATGTAGTTCATGTAATTCTCCATGTCCACTTGTTGCTGATGGTTGTGGTAGAGGAGCTGTAGATTAGCACTAACATCTGTGGCATGGTCAGTAGCAGTAGTCAGTAGCTACTGACCATGCTACAGCAGTGAGCAGCAGAGGTGGGGCTATGGCTTCATCGTTAGCAGGAAATTATCGTATAGGGCAGGGGTCGGCAACAGGCGGACCGCGGTCCGGATCCGGACCCAGGCGCCGACCTATACGGACCCGGACCTATAATCAATACATTAATAGGGGATTTCAATTTTGACGGGGCGATTCTATTTTAACCGCTGCCGACAGGGGGCGAAAGAGACGAGTGAGCGATACAGGGAGAGAAACACAGAAGAAGAGATGAGAGAGCGGCAGAGAGACGCAGAGAGGAAAGTGAGTTAAGAGAATAATTAGTGATACAGGGAGATAAGCGGAGAGGAGAGTGAACAGGCGTGTTAGCGGCAGACAGGGAGAGACAAATAATTACACATGGCGCTCTCAAGAGAGGAAAGTGGACAGTGAGAACAGAGCTTTAACCCTGAGTGGACTCATTCATGTTCATCCGGCCCACTGTGAGCACAGAGCCAGGCCCAATCCAAACCGCCCCCTACAACCCTACCCCTACACACTACCACCCCTCCGTTGTGCGCGTTCGCGCGGAGGGGTCCGCCACATTAAGTGCTGTTCCAAAACCAACGAGTGTGGAGAGGTGTGGAGGGGGAGTGGGCTATCAAGCCCTCAAACAGCGAGTCCGCATCAGTGCTGACTTGAGACCGGTCTCTACCTGACCGGAGTCACGCTGTGTGGTGTCCGTCAGGAAACACGCTGTTTACAAGGAGTTTCCAGGCAAACATCCACTGATAAATTGCGATGTTAACAACCTCATGATAACCTCATATTTTTTTAACTTAGGATCATACCTGTGTTTAGTCTAGAAAAAAGGTAAATGTGTGCATTTATTATAAAGTTGTGTATATTTACAGAAATTAAGAAGCTTATAAACATCAGGTTTAAAACTAAAAGAGCTTTACAAAAAAGTAACACAATGAAAGATGTTTGGAGTTTTATTTGAGTTCTTAATTTACATTTGTTGTCTAAGAGATGCTGATTTGAAACCGTTGTTACATACAGTTACGGCATTTCCTGTTCTTCTGCCGGAGAGAGGGGAGTTTTGTCCCAAAGCTTGCCGCTGTATTTACTCCCTCCATCTGACAGGAGGGAGGCCTCGTTGAGCTGCGAGTGTGGCTACAGACGGAGTTCACTCCGCCACGGAGGGGTAGGGTCGAGGGAGTGGTTTGGGATTGGGCCCCAGTGTGTCTCATTTGTTCAGAGACCGTGGCGCTCATTAAAAGTGCCAAAATGCCACTATGAGACAAAACACAAAGTGTTTGACCAAAACATTCCCTCTCAAGTCAGAACTGAGGTCACAAAAAATAAGCAGTCTCAGAGCCCGATATGATCAGTCCACCAGGATCAAATTAAAATAAATATCGTTCCAGCGCAGGCTAACCGAGGCTAACCAATGAGCACCTACATGTGTGTATGAGAATGGCCCCGACACCCATTTCAGCCCAGATTTAAACTCCTGGCAGGACAAGCTCGAGCTCAATTCTCGCATTGAATTAAAAAAAAGTGAGTGAGGGACTGCACATAAGAGGAAAGAAAGAGAAACTTTAAAACTGTTCAATTGTTATGATGTGTAAAGACTGATATTGTTCTATAATCGTCTGAAACTGTTAAGTCATGATGTGAAAACGGTTAACAAAGAAAAAGGGAAACTCAAGCTGCTGCTACACTTTATGTATTTATCTAAAATTAAGCACTTTTAAGATGCACACATTTTCAAAAGCTATTTCATTTATTTTCTCTATTTTATTTTTAAAATGCAGCCCGAGAGGAACATTACACATATCCACAGTATTTACTGTATATCTGTAGAGTTCAATGTTAATTGACAATAAATATTGTTGTTTTTGAATTGTACTTTCTTTATTTGATTGGCAGTCAGTTGTTGATTACATGCAGACGTTGATAAAGCTACAGGCTACTTCAATATATATCACACTAATTCATAAAGCAACTTAGACATTTTGATGTTCCGGACCTTTGCATGGGGAGATTTTCTCTAACTGGACCTCGTTGAATTTTAGTTGAATACCCCTGGTATAGGGCGTACACACTGAGCCGTTTGGCCCCCCAGAGTGTTCCGTTTGCAGATCTATCCACCTTGGGACCCGTTATCGTTTGCGGGGTCCGTTTCCGCGGTTCCGTTACGGCCTCGTGTGAACGAACTGGCTATACGCGCGAGAAAAGTAGCAGATACAATCCGTTTCGTTCTTGTGTAAACACCGCCTTAATCTCCCAGCTACTGGGATCCGCTGGGTTTTTGGTTGGAATCCGCTGAAACTTTACAAGTGATGAATTTAGATTGCTCTTCGAGCTTCAAGCTGTTTCCAAACAATAGCTTCCTAATTGGAGTTGCCTTAGCATGACGCAGCTCCAGGATTGGTCACGCTGAGCTGAACTGTAATTGGGAAAGCTGATTGAACGGCCGCTCACATGGAAAGGAGTAAAGTTGTATAAAGTGATTAATCCAGATAACCCAGCTGCTGTGGCTGTCAACCCCCTTCCTCCAGGAGGATCATGGGACTTGACAAACCTAATTGAATCAACAGTTTCAGTTCAAAGGAAAAATCCAGAGGCATGTCATTGAGATGTTAAAGCCCATATGAAGAGAGTTAGCCCTAATAACATTATAACCAGGGGTGCACACAACTTTCTCAGTGAGGTACTCAGATGAGTACCTGGACTCAGTGTTTGGTACTCCAACTTCTGACGTGTAATTTGATTCTAACACTGTATGAAATGGATCAATTGCTGCCTATTGGCGCCTAATAAGAATATCAAATAATTATAACATCACAAGGCATAATGTAGCTGCAAGTAAGAGAGCAACCCATGACTCTGGTTTATTTCCAACTTGTCATTCACATTCTTCTGCTCTTAAACTTCAAACTTGATGCAGCAGATTTAAACGTTACACTCAAGAATTGAAGGACTGACCATGATAACGATATGTGGAACTAAATGTAGTTTTTGGCTGAATTAGAGTAAAAGGAAAAGTATTGACTGATACATATCAATAGACTGATCCACTTTCTAATTGGTATTCTTTTAGCTGCAATATACAGAGTTTAATGTATTGTTGGGAAGCACTGTATTAAAAAGCAAACCAAACAAAACAGGGCACACTGACACACCAAGGCAGCCAGCTGTGGCGCCATGTTGGTTTTCTGGGAAAAGAGGATTTGAAAGCAAATACTCTGCATTGAATCCATCCTAGTGTTAGAAGCAGGGGGCAGACACTGTACAGCAACCAGGGAGCAGTGCGTTCCTTGCTCAAGGGCAGGAGATGAAGTGGCACCTCTCCAGGTACACACTCAGCACTTTGTCTGTAGTTGGGGACCCTTCAGTTCCCAAGACAAGATCATACAGACCGAGCTACAGCTGGATGGTGTTACTGTTTCGAACAGGAAGTGCCCCTTTACAGAGTTTGATTTAAATGATTTAGCCAAAGTCAGCCTTGGAGGAGATCCAGAAGTGAATCAGGCTTTACATCAGTGCAGCAAGAGCTTACATCGAACACATGGACACATTTTACATCCTGGCAGTGATAAGGTCTATTCTGAGAGCCAAAAATAAAATAACCAAGGTTAAATTGGCAACATTGTCTCTCTGCTTCAACAAGCTGACTGTTATCCAAAGCACTTGGAACTTAGTTAGCAAAACATTGCCTTGTACTGAATTAAAATAATAACAAAAGTCAATTTTCTCTGAGTGCTTTTAGATGCTTACCAGTGGGAAGGCGTGGGAGATCTTGCCATCCGGAGGCAGTTTCGCTCCAAAGCCGTACGCTGGGAAGAGTTTGTCACTGTCGTAGTCCTGGATGATCTCCCCCACTGCCTTCAGAGCCATGGCGTACGCATTCATCTGGTACGGACTCATGTAATGCAGGGAGGTGGGCTGGGACGGGTTACCTGGAGAGACCACCAGCACACCAACACACACAGGGACGAACATAATGACCAAATACTCAATCTTTGATATATTTAATGCTAAATTCATCAAAGTAATGTTCAGTGGAGTTTATGCATGTGAATGGAATAACTCTATAGCATGCAACAGTATTTTGTGTTATATTGCATCATCATGAACAGAGGCACAAACCTCGAACAAGTTCGATTTATGGTCTTAATCCTTTCATTTTCAACATTTTAACTAGGGCTGTCACATTTAAAAATTAATTCACATTATCAAGTGTTGGAGCTATATACTGATTTATATTATTTAATAGTTAAACATTTATTTTCTTCAGCTCTTTTAAGTCACTGTTTGCTTTTATGAGATTTAATTTTTTTGTATTCATATTTTATTTATTTATAATCTATTTATTCTTGTTGAATTATTTTCTATCTGTTTTACTTTGTGTATTTGTAGATGTTGTTGTTGAAACTTGCTTGTTTTATGTGAGAGCACTTTGTCGATGCTTCAGCAAAGCGTCGGAACATTGTAAGACTTGGTGCCAGATATGATGATGCTGAGATGTTAAAGTAATAACTCCTCTGATTTCTCTCACCTGTTTGTAATGCATTTATGTATTACAACACCACACAAGTAATTGATTGACACCAAGAAATGAACCCTAACCGTTTCACACTCAGACAGAGAGCATTACCAAAGACTCTCACACTGACCAGATCCCAATGCACACGTTTGCACACACATACAAACGCACACACAATCCAATCCAATCTGTCATGTGTGCAGCGACACTCATGTAGATGAAACCTTTTAACTGAACGGAGGTGAGGACATTGACTGCATGCACAGAGATGAAACGCCATCCTACCGTTGGATGCTGTGAAGTCGATGGCCACGGTGAAATTGAGTTGTGTCCTGGAGGGAGATTGAGCACATCGGTGTCAGTCAAAGCAGAGATGATAGCACTGTGGCGGTATCTCGCACATTTACAGATGTCCAACCTTCGCTGAGAGACACTCATCAACAGCTCCATGCTGTCACTATAATAAAGCATGAGGCAGGGGTCTGCACTATGACTCCTAAAAGCTCTGTAACTGTGCTTTTAAATCCCAATGCTGGAGCATCTGACTATTATCATGCTGAAAACTTTATTTTTGTCTTTAATTAATCTCATATTTTGGGCATTATGGCAATTCACTATATTTTCAAATTGTCCTGCCCAATGTTCCATATGCTCCATATTCATTTTTACAATTTTTCTGCACTTGTGATTACTGTTTGGTTATAATCGATCATTTCAAACAAAATGGTGAATCTCTAAAGTATTATTGCGAATTTTCCAAATCCAGAGCAGAGAATCACTGCCTGTTTGGGGCTGGGCTACACTGAAACTATGTTTGTGGAGAATAAGAAGCAGAGGTTAAATAATCCATGACTTTACTTTTGTAATATTTAAAACAGTGCAGCGACTCGAGGGTGAGTGAAGTCTGCTTTCTACAAATAGAAGTTAAAGAGCTTCCAGCTGTCTCTCAAACTCGCAGGCAAAAATGGTAACTGCCAATACAGCTAATATCGTCGCTTTGGTTGTTAGACCTGTGTTGGAAGTCCTATCAATAACCATAAAGAAGGCACAGTGACATTGGGCTGTTCAATGGAAAACCACAGGAGATCAAACAATTGAAAATGAGCATGTCACCTGAGGATAGTATCTGTTTTGTATGATTTGTTGTATGACCAAGCTGACTGTTTGTGTTGTTGTTGTAATGTATTCATGTATTGTATTCATCACAACCACTCTGTCATTGCTGTCATTTTGTGTTTAAGAATCAATAAACAAAGTGTATAAAATAAATAAAAAGAACAGACTAAACTTTTGTTTTCAACATTGTCAACAAAGCGGAAGTCAAATTAGACTTGCATTGTGGGAACATTTGTGAATTCAACATTCATTTCACTGTTCCATTGTCTGATGGAACCCGGCGAAAGACAAGCGTAAACTCCAGTGGTGTCCTTTAGTGAAACTCTGATGAAACATTTAACAGGGAGCTCTTACCCTCCTCTGATGAAATCCACAAACGTGCATTCTGAGTCCACTTTGAAAGACAGCAGAGTCACCTGGAGACGGAGAGGAAGTGAAAACAGGAAGTGAGGAGTGAGTAAACATCTGCTGGTTGAAAACAAGGCTGCTGTGACTCATGGCCCTGAATCACTCGACAGCTCTTACCGTTCCTGAGTTGACGTATTTCTTCTTCTTTCCTTTCTTTTTATGATTCAAAACCTTGATCACAAGATAGAGAAGAATAAATGAGTGTCTATTTGACGCAAGTGATTAGTTATTCAGTGCATGACTGAGCTGTGTGGATGTAGAGGATATTGTCCTCAGATGTGGGCGCTTATTTATAACACAATAAAGACTACTCAAATAAATAATAAATAACACTGACAAGACATTTCTGATGAGGCTGAGAGTTCCCTAAACAATTCTGATATCCTTTAAAATAAAGTTTTGGACAAAGTCTTGGATTCATTTGAGCTATTTGTTGATAAAGTTGAGCTATTCTTGCATTTTACCTCATACACATTGAACTGGCTCTGCCCCCGGGACAGCTCTCTGTAGCTGGTGGTGAACTCCCCGATAAAGTCATGACTGGAAGAAAGACAGATTTAGACAGGAACAGACAATAGTTATAGAAAATCTGCAACATAATTCCCATGCACAGAATAACACAAGAAAATAAAGAATCCAATTATAGTAACAATAAATGATTCCACCACTTCTTGGAAGAAGAGAAAACACATAATGGTGGTCATATCAATCTCCTTTAGGTTAACTGAGGCTATCAGTTCCTCATGTCCACATACAGCTTGCCTGAAGTGTCATTAGAATTAGTTTTGAATCATGTTTCCAGTCCAGTTAACTCTTCTCTCAATGTTGTATTAGAAAGCTATTTGTCTCTTTAGCTGCTAAATGCTCGACCATGTTCTAATGCTAGGTACTGTCCAGTGGCTTATTGGTGCATTTCTCTGGGAACAATGTGCACAGAGAGTAACTTAAAGTCATGGTGCCAAAAGGAGTTTGTTAAACATGGATAACTCCATAGCTTCTGGAGCCGACACCAAGCCTCTCATCATCAGCAGCCTCCCTCACAGCCTGACACCAGAGAGGATTTCTGGAAAGCAGCTAAAATACACAAAGCAACTCTATGTGGCCTTCCTCTGAAAACAAAGTCTTACTTGGTTTTTGACCCTCCTCAAGAAGCTCTGCGCTGGATCCTGAATAACTAAAGTCTCTCTTACATAATCTCAACAAATGTCTCACTCCACTATCCTCACCTCCTCCCCACAGGCTTGCTACTCTCACATGCTTTTTCAAAACCTGGTGACAAAACCTTAATCGTGATTACCACAACACCAAATCGCTGATTTATTAGTAAGTAGAATGTTTGCATGTCAATTAAATATGTTCAAGGTTCAAGGTTCTTTATTGTCAAACTGACATAGCTACAGAGTAATTATGTTGTTGAAAATCTTATGTCACAGGCTTCTCCAACAATGCAACATAATAACAATACAGATAGCAAGAGCAATACAAAAAGAAAAAAAAAAAAAAAAAAAAAAAAAGTCAGTGCTTACTGCGCCCTGCATAATGTGGTGTCACTCTGTATTATTATGTTTTGCTGCTCCGGTCAGCGGTTGCCCAAGTTTAAGGCCCAAGCAAAGCTGTTGCTGTTATGTTTTTATTTCAAATGTGTGCCTTGCTCATGAGTTACCAGTGTTTGTTGCCCTTTATTTGTGTATTTATTTGCGATAGGTGTGCGTCTTTACGCAATGCTGTTGGCCACTGCTGTTTGATTGGATCTATATTGTGTCGCGACACATGACAGTTTTGTGTGCCGTCCCATGAAAATCATATGCCCTCTCTGTAGATTTGTTCTGGCGCCGGGTCTGAGCTACAGGTTGGTTTATCCTGATCGATCCGATCTCCATTCAGAAAACACGCATTTTAAAAGGTTTCTCCCCTGCTGTCTTGTCTGCAGACTTGTCAAAGCATTAATTCATGGTTTTTACTAACCGGTATCAGTATGTTGTTACTTCGGCATCATTTTGAAACGTGTATTACAATTAAATCACGGTAAAATATGTTAATTTTGTTGTAGTTGGTATCTACCAAAGTATTTGCATGAATGTAAGCCCTGCCCCCTCTCCAGCGCGTCTTGTTTGAATGACAGGAGTAAACACAGCTGACAGCCGCGGTGAAACCTGAAACTGGAGCGATTAGAGCGATGCGAATATTCTGGGCTTATATCCATGTAAATACTATGGTAGACTACAACAAAATGAACATATTTGACCGTGATTTAATTGTAATACACGTTTCAAAATGATGCCGAAGTAACAACATACTGATACCAGTTAGTAAAAACCATGAATTAATGCTGTGACAAGTCTGCAGAGAAGACGGCAGGCGAAAAACCTTTTAAAATGCGTGTTTTCTGAATGGAGATCGGGTCGATCAGGATAAACTAACCTGTAGCTGCTCCGTCCAAACTCACAACAACGTCATACAGACATAAATAAAGCAGCGACTGTATTCAACATGACATAGACAGTCTGTGGTTTGTTCATGTTTAACTTTTGTCCAGTTTCTGAACAGATATGAGGAGCTGTGAGCTCTGAGTGCTAACAGCTAACGGCTGATGTTTCTGGACATGTTGCGCTGTCGGGTGCTGACCAATCACAAAGCATCATTTCTTGACTGGCAGCAAAAACAACCAATCACAGCAGTGCTTCTCTGGCTGGCTCTGTCCAATCACAAACAAGAAGTGTTCTCCCTAAAGGAATACCCTTTCCGTATAAGTTGAAATGCTGTGGTGTTTTGGTGAAATGCTGTGGCGTTTTCTGAAATGCTGTGATGTTTTGTGAAATGCTGTAGCGTTTTGTGAAATGCTGTGGCGTTTTGTGAAATGCTGTGGTGTTTTCTGAAATGCTGTGATGTTTTCTGAAATGCTGTGATGTTTTGTGAAATGCTGTGGTGTTTTGTGAAATGCTGTAGCGTTTTCTGAAATGCTGTGGTGTTTTCTGAAATGCTGTGGTGTTTCCTGAAATGCTGTGATGTTTCTGAAATGCTGTGGTGTTTTCTGAAATGCTGTGGTGTTTTGTGAAATGCTGTGATGTTTTCTGAAATGCTGTGATGTTTTGTGAAATGCTGTAGCGTTTTCTGAAATGCTGTGATGTTTTGTGAAATGCTGTAGCGTTTTCTGAAATGCTGTGATTTTTTGTGAAATGCTGTAGCGTTTTCTGAAATGCTGTAGCGTTTTGTGAAATGCTGTGA